CGTGGTCGACATGCCGGACACAGGCCATCACGGGGACGCACAACTTCGTGGTGACCGACGTCTCGCCGCTCGACAGCACGGCCCCCGGCGACTACGTCAGCTCGAGCATCTTCTTCATCAGCGGCTGCGAATGGAGCATCCAGTTCTTCCCCGACGGCGAGGGTGCAAAGGACGACGATGAACCTGCTGCTTATACGACGGTGCGTTTGAATCTTCTTGACGGACCACCAGGCGTGAGGGTTAAGTTCAGTATAAGCCACTGTTCGATAAAGACAGTCAAGCGCCGTCGTCGGGGAAGAAAGGGAAAGAGAAGAAGAAGGGATCAGCAGGACAAGGAGATAAACAAGTACCAATAATTACAACAACCTTGTTCACGGACACAAGAATCTATGACACGGAGCACAGTAACAACTGGGGCTGGTCTGATTTCATCTAGAAATCCAAGCTAAAAGAGCTGCCGCATGGCTTCACAATCCGGTGCGCCGTGACCGTCGTGAAGCATCGCATCGAAGACGCGGCGACCGTTGCAGCCCCGCCGTCGGACCTGCACGCGTGCATGCTGGAGGCCGCCGGCAGCGCCGACGTCACGATCAGCGTCGGCGACCGGTTCTTCCTCGCCCACAGGTACGTGCTCGCCGCTCGGTCCAGGGTGTTCAGGGCGCAGCTCTTCGGCGCCATGGAGGAGAGCTTCACGGGGTGCATCCGGATCGAGGACACATGGACCCGGCCGTGTTCGAGAGGCTTCTGCACTTCGTGTACAAGGACTCGTTGCCGGAGAGGAGCTACGAAGAAAGGGACGATGAGACCGTGGGGATGCAGCACCTGCTGGTCGCCGCCGACCGGTACTAGCTGAAGCGGCTGGGCCTCATGTGCGAAGCGAAGCTGAGCAGCTGGATCGACGTGCGGTCGGTCGCGGCGATCCTGGGTTTAGCGGAGCGGCACCAGCGCGTGCACCTCAAGGAGACTTGCCTGAGATTTATTGCGTGGCCGGAGATGCTCGGTGCTGTCTTGCAGACCGAGGGGGTCAAGGATCTGATCGCGAGAGCTGCCCTCTGATTATGAAGGAGATTCTAGACAAGATCGCCTCGGCCAAAGCTTGACTAGCCTTGCTCAGCGTTGGATTATTGGACGTACGGCCGGTGTTGAGTTTTATCTTGTGTAAAGTGAACAGTCTTTATCGTACGATGAATTAGTCGACATGACCATTGCCGCTATATTATACTCCAAACTTCCTAATAGTTGAAGTTATAAAATTTAAATTTTACCCTAAAATACTCTCTTCATCCCAAAAAAAGAATGTCACTATATGCTGATCAAATTTTCTAAAGTTTAACTAAATTTGTAGAAAATATTAGCAATATTATATCTCCAAATAAATATATTATAAAAATATATTCAACATTTTATCTAAAGATACCATGAATATTAATATTTTTCTTATATATATATTTAGTATAAGTGTCACGGAAATACGTATGTTGCGTTGGATTTGCGGTCATACAAGAAGGGATCGAGTTCGGAACGATGATATACGTGATAGATTAGGGGTAGCACCAATTGAAGAAAAGCTTGTCCAACACCGGTTGAGATGGTTTGGACATATCCAACGGAGACCTTCAGAGGCACCGGTGCATAGTGGAATCATAAACCAGGATAGTAACGTGAAGAGAGGCAGAGGAAGACCGAAGTTGACTTGGATAGAGACAATAAAATGAGACTTGAAAGGATGGAATATACCCAAACACTTAGTCTTAGATAGGAGTGCTCGGAAAACAGCTATTCACGTGCCTGAACCTTGGTTGCTTCTGTTGGGTTTCAACTCTAGCCCACCCCAACTTGTTTGGGACTTTAAGATTTTGTTGTTGTTGTTGTTGTTGTTGTTGTATATATACATTTAGTCAAAGTTGAAAATATTTAAGGGAATAGTTGTTATTCTCACTTTCCAATACACCTTTCTCTTCCCTAGGTACATCTTCTTCTTTTGCCAATACTCTACATCTCCATCTCTCTTCTCCTTGTTTTGTGTGCACCACACATTTTCACTCCTCCTAAATTCCCGTGTCTAAATCTAAAATGTCACTATTTTGAGATGGAGGGAGTATACCTTTAAAACTCTAGGAAATGATGTGACGATTTTGTTTCTGGCTCTGCTATTGTAGTTTCACTGCCAGTTGTTGTGGCCCTTTCCTGGCACGCTTGTCGTTCGCCCTACCCACCATCGAATCTAGGATGGACCAAGGGAGACTAGGAGGAGAGAGAAGCCCTGTTTGGCAGAGCTCTAGCTCCAAAAAAAATTATGGATTTTCTAAAGTTGATGTAGTTCTAGGAAATCCTAAATCTGGAGTTGCAGGCATATCAAGTGCATTTACATGACTCATTTCGTTTATTGTTTAGATTAAATATAAATATCTAAACCCACTTTAAGAACTGTGCCAAATAGGCCCAAAGAGGGATTGAGATCTGAAAGAGGGCACGCGGTATTGTTGGGTTGCTAGGAGGCCTAATCAACATGATTACAGGAGGCAATGGGTTGAACCAAAGTGGCAAAGTTTGAACCCATTGGCTTATTTTCTTTTTCTTTTCTTTTTCTATTCCGTGTCTACCCTATTTCATGCCAAAATATTGAAAGAGAAGTTTACATTTCAATTACATTCATTTTAATTGGCACTCAAGTCCAAAAACATAAGTAAATCGAAACATATAAATATATAGCATGATTAAATATGCAATTCATAATTTAGTTAACAGCCTAAATTAAATTGTGCATGCATATGTTTAGGTTTGATCCATCCTAGTTTGAACTAAGGTTGGCTAGAGTTTGACCTATAAGCAATATGACCAGAACACCAATCATTTGAAGAAGATTTCGAAACATTCACATTTTTCATTTAGGATTTTTGGTGGAGTGTTGCAACCGAGGTGTTAAATTGGATTTTCATGTGGCATGTGAGGATAAGCTAAAGTGAAATGATATTCCATCCATTCCAAATTATAAGATATTTTGTCTTTTCTAGATACATTTCTTTTACTAAGTATCTTTTTTTTGTGAGATCTTTTACTAAGTATCTAGACATAGTCACATAGTGTATGTCTAAGTGCATAGCAAAAATAATGTATTTAGAAAAGCTAAAACGTCTTATAATTTGGAACGGAGGGCCCAGTATTACTTGGCTACCACTTTAATTTTTAAAGATTCACATATATTTATTATTGTTTTCTTGAAGACTTAGACATGAATTCTATTATTAATTGTAAATCAGGTATCAATATTGAAAATCACCCTGTGTATTGTCATATAAATATTTTGGATACCACAATTCCAAAATTAAGTATAATTAATCAATGTTGCATGCCAACTAATATAAAAGATAAAATCCCTTCTTCATTTAGCCTGCAGTGAGGATACTATTACAAAAAAACATTAATTATCGCTACCACCAATATGACTTTTGATTTAGTTTGGTATCCGTTCGAAGATTCTTGGACATTAATGGAAGTCCAGTATACCAGATTTTCCATATGCTATAAATAGAAATAATCACCATTCCAATCAAGCAAAGATCAATACAAGATCCCGGCAAAATCGACCCAATACTACTGTAGAATGGCTATGAAAGTAGTCATTAACATCCTTGTCTTGTGCACTTTTGTATTTATTACCATGTTTAGAACAGGTGAAGCTTTCGATAACTACGATTGTCTTGAAGAGAATGATTTGGTCATGAGCAAATGCATGAAGACCATAAGAAAAGAGGGTGATTACATACCCCCAGAGGAGAAATGTCGTAAGGCGGTGGCACATTCTAATATGGTTTGCGTTTGTCATATACTCAACCATAATGATGAGAAGTATGTACACCCGAAGAAACTTGTTCGTCTTGCAAGGGAATGCAACAAGCCTGTGCCAGTTGGATATAAATGTGGAGGTAAGTTCTTAAATGTATTCATTTCAGCATAGCAAAATAAACATTTATGCTACTACGTCTTTATTACTATATATGCAAGAAATGCTAATACTGATTTTATACAATTCTTACTGATGTTTAGGTTGGAACGTTCACCCGCCAAATTAACTGCCGCCACCAGCTGAGGCACATCCATGAGTTATGGCGAAAACATTCATGTAACCCATGGATGAACAATGAAATAATAAGTTTTGGCAAGTATTTACTTGTTGAGAGTTTGATAAGTGTTCAATTTTTTTGGCACCAAAAGCAAAAGGAATTTTGGGCACATCTTGAGCCGCTCTAACGATTCGACCTTAAGAGCATATAGACTGCATGATGATGAGTTGAATTCCTCCCTAGGGATTATTTCAATGATTTCCTTTGTTATCCTTTTCTTGTCAAAGAAATATGAGACACAGACCCATATCGTCGCACCAAAACGGTCTTTCACCCTTGGATCAGTGTAGATTAATTAGATGTATTGAACCAGGGAAGTCTTCCCCACCCGCCAATGCCAACAATATGATCGAGATGGCAGAAACATTGCTTTCGCAGTTAGTCTCAGGATGTCCAGCCTTGCCGCTTTTAACTATTGGTTGCTTGGTGTCTGGTCTGGAGAGTGGAGCATTTTTTTTTATATATAAAGGAGAGTGGAGTATTGGGCTGAGGTAGTGGGCAAAACAAGAGTCTAGAGATTAAATATATAAATGAGTCATATAAATACACTTGGCATACGACAGTTTCAGATTAAAAAATTTTGAGCCTAATTATTATTCTGCAAATCCCGCTCCGTGAACAAGCAAGGCTTAATCTGGAACCCATGCATGCACAAGTTGGACTCTTGCGGTACCTGGGGTTTTGGCTGTACACGCGATGCCTACCTTCGGTACGTGTTCTGGTGCGGTTACATACGCACTATTTGTCTACGTATATAATACGAAGGCCGCCGGGACCTGACTTCTGAGCGACGTACGCGAGCATGTTTCCTTGAAGGCTCTCGTCTGTTGCCCTAGCTAATTTCGCTGCCGCCGATCTCCCATATGAGCGCATGACATGGCTGGTGATACCAACTCCTCATCTTCAGCTAACCCATCGCTGCTGCCCGCGACGTCGTCGAGATGCCTGACGCACGGCATCACCGCGACGCACGACTACAAGGTGACCAACTTCTCGCTGCTCGTGGGCATCGGCCAGGTCGTTGCCTCGAGTACCTTCAGCGCCGGCGGGTGCGACTGGAGCATCAGGTTCTTCCCCGACGGCTACGACGAGACTCCTGAAGAGGAGGCAGCCTCTTTCACGGCGGTCTACCTATGCCTTGTGGCCGGACCGGCCGGTACCAGGGTCAAGTTCAAATTCACTCTGCTCGACGACAAAGGTCGCCGAGTGTCGACGAGGACAGGGAAGAGGCGGAAGAAGAGAAAAGGGACCGCCGACTTGACGAGAACCGAAACCTCCACCTACGCCCGTGCCGGTGCCATGTGGGGCACGAACACGTTCTTTGACAGATCCCTGCTGGAGGGGCTGCTGCGGGACTCCAACGACAGCTTCACGATCCGGTGCGCCATGTCTGTGATACAAACGCACACGGAGGACGACGCCGTCATCGAGGTCCCGGAGTCGGTCCTCCGCCACGACCTGGCGCGCATGCTCAGGGACGGCGCCGGCGCCGACGTGACGTTCGTCGTCGGCGACCGGTTCTTCCGCGCGCACCGCTACGTCCTCGCCGCCCGCTCCAATGGTGTTCAAGGCGCAGCTCTTCGGCGCCATGAAGGAGGCCCAGCAGGGCGGGGACGGCGCGCGGTGCGTCATCAAGGTGGACGACATGGATCCCGCCGCCTTCGCGGGGCTCCTCCACTACATCTACACGGACTCGCTCGCCGACGACTGCACCGCGGGCAGGGTCGTGGCGCCGCAGCACCTGCTCGTGGCCGCGGACCGGTACGGGCTCGATAGACTGAGGGTGCTGTGCGAGGCGAGGCTGTGCGGCTGGATCGACGTGCAGTCGGTGGCGACCACCTTGGCGTTGGCCGAGCGGCACCAGTGCGTCAAGCTCAGAGAAGCTTGCCTGAGGTTCCTGTCCTGGCCGGACATGCTCCGCGCTGCCATGAAAACGGAGGGGTTCGGCCATCTCATTGCGAGCTACCCTTCGGTTGCCAGCGATATCTTGGACAAGGTCGTCTCGGCAAGAGTTGATGATCATTGATCAGTAGCCTCGCTTGTTCGTTGGTGTACGTTTTGGAAGGTGTGCTGATGAGTCTTATTTAAAATCTGCTGTCGGTTGAACTGATTTCATCATACAAGAAAGTACAATAATAAGCTTATAGCCAAACAAATGACGTAGAGCAGAGAAGAGAGGAGAGTTGGGCTCTCATGCAAGCAACAAGATAGGCACGGATATATATGTAGTTGTGGGCCCATACTTGAAGTGAATGTGAGGCGGAGGATGAAAGAGAAGGTGGGACATAGATAAAAGTAACAATAAAAAAGATTGTTATAGACAAATAAGAGACACATAACTTGGCTCTTACAACTTGGTTAATAGCCAAACACTTGGTTCTATTTTTGGCCTTGCTCTAAGGGTGCCCTAAATGGCATAGCCGAATCGCCTGCTGATGTGGCTCAAGATGTAACAGAACCGACCAAATCATAAGAACGTAAGTACAAAAACAATCACCGAAGCGATCAAATTCCTGTACTTAAGCTCCCATAATCCCGGTAGTCCGGAAATCACGAAGGATTTCAACCAACTCTCGACATACAAACCAAGATCGTAGTGATTCAATACAACACATCATCCGTTACAATATTTCATAAGTAGCATTCGGATTACATCCATCAGAGTTCAAATAAAATATTACAAACCAAGTTTAAATGCGCGGAAGCAACATAGTTTAGTACATAACTTCATAGTTTCAAATACATTGCCGGATCGTAGTCATGTCCCACAAAAGCATTATCGGTACGAGAACTAGTAGACACCGCGCCTAACGGCCTAGTCTTCATCCCAACCGGAGAAGGCAAGATTTGCAAACAACCAAAGAAGAACGGTCATCTGCAATGGTGGGAGATAAACCACGAGTACGAGAAGGTACTCATTAGACTTACCGTCAAAACCCGAAATAAAAGACACCAAGGATCATGCAAGGCTTTTCGGTGGGCTAGTGGACACGATTGCATAAAAGAGCTTATGATTATAGTAACCAATTTAAACTTAGCATCAAGCTTATCATCATTTACCAGTCCACTAGATTAGCACCGTACTAGAGCACTCACTTATTAGGAGCAAACAATATTAACCATAGCGGTATAATAAAAACATCATCATCATATCATCATTTTCGAACCATTAAGTTATTAAGTGTATCTACATTGGAGATAAGCCCGTCAAGTTCTAACTAACAGGGAGGCGGCGACTCGAATCGAATTACAACTCAGTGAGGGGTATTCCTAACTCTCACCTGGCATACTTAGCAAGGGTAGCCGTGGGTTACCTTTGGTACATCTCGAGAACCAAATTCATGGGTTCGATCAAGCGCCAAGACTCTCGGGGATTACCCTTACCGCCAGACGATCGGGACTTTTAAATCACCCTTGCCTTGGACTCACGCCTCGGCTCCTTCCGAGGCGCACTTTATACTGATCGACTCCCGGCCGAGGTGAGCTACTCTCGGCCATGGTCGGTCATCGGACACGACCAACTAAGAGAGAGGCATGCGTTCAACATGAACAGGAAAGGTTCCAAGAATCAGTCCTTAAGCGACACGCCGGAGTCACTTTATGAACCGGCAAGCCTCCGCCCGGTCTTCATTTCAAATTAAGACAGGTTCTTTTCCACGATAGCAAATATAGCCAACCGTGCCACATGTATATTCCTATATCTCGCAGTGACGAAAATCATCCGACTTCTACCGCGTTTAAGCGAGGCTAAGCACTACACGAGCTTTGAGCTACATAGGATTCGTGGTAACAATATCTGGACAAGGATTGGGTAACCAATGCAACAATTGTTTGCATCCAACACCTAAACTTAATGCAACAATATATATATGTAACAATATCAGAATCGCATTTCAGAAATTAGGAGGCTTAATATGCTCCGGGGCTTGCCTTTCACAAAGTTGCAAGGACGGTGGTCCGGGCACTCAACGGCGACCTCGTCTAGCACTTCTCCTGAAGGCTGCTCCTCCTGAATCTCCGGCGTCGGCTGCTGCTGCTCGCTCGGTTCCTCGAATTCCAGCAGGGTTACTCCTTCCGGTACACCTATTGCATGCCGATGCAAAAGATAAATATTATGGATGCATAAGGAATGACATGATGCTCATGATGAATGAATCATAGTGGGTGTTTACGAAAGCATCATTGGACACTCGTTTACCGAGTAATTAGCTCTATTCAAATCACTTTAAGCATATATCTACTTAACTTAAAGAACAAGATCAACTTACCTAACTTGCATAACCTAAGATAAAGATGCTCATCTTCAGTTAAAGGCCTAACACCTAGGAACATTACCACAACTTAGAATAGTAAAGGTATACATAATTTAACATTTAAAGTTTCATATGCATACCAATAGTCCCTTAATTCAATCATAACCAGAGTTCTACAAATCCAAATGACTTGCAAGAGGACATTCTGGAAAGCTTATGAAATTCTCTACAATTCATTTGTAAACATCAAAGCATGATTCTTAAGTTAACCAATTCAAATTCCAGTAAACTTAGAATCTGTCCAGAAATGACAGGGTTACTAACTTAATTAATTAATGATTGTGCAAAAGCATAATTTGATCAATCCAAGTTTACCAACTTGTTTTTCATACCTAAGAAACGTCAGAAAGTATAGTGCCAACTTCTAAATAATTTATTTAATATCCATTTCCAATGTATTTAGTTAATTAGGTGATTTAAGCAATATATAGTAAAATTATTCATAAAAATCTACAAAAATTACAGTAGCTATCTCATGCTGCACATAGACTACCATTAAAATTTCAAAGCCATATAGCAAGTAGAACTTGCTGTATCCAAAATAACAGATGACATGCCTATTTCTAGCATAATTTGGAAACCTTATTAAAAAGTGTCAAGCAACAGATTTCCCATTTTTCCTAGCATCATTCTAGCATAAGAATAGCACTTATCAAATTTTACCTTCACTGGATCTATAGAAAAATTATGAAAATTCACACAAGATCCACCCATTAATAAAAGGAAATTCTATAACTTAAAAACTACACATGCACTAGCTCTGAAATTTTAACCAGAGCTTCTAATAAGCAATAATAGACTACCCACAAAATTTCATAATTTTTGGATCACAGAAACTCAAGATAAAATTCAAACAAGTTTGCATGTATCCAAAAACACATTTCAAAGTCCTATTTAATTCATCCAGAATTTCTAAAACATGTGCTCATATAATATTTTTATTAAATACTAGACAATACTAGGAACTCAACAAAATTAGAACCATAGCATTTGGACCTACCAAACTTGAGTTACATATTTTTGAAATTGTGCACCAAACTGTGAAAAACAGTTAAACAAAACAAAAATAAAAACCTAACCGCTACTGGGCCAGCCCGTAGAAACGACGGCCCGCGAACAATGCTGGCGTGACCCAAGACGCGGCGCAGCCCACACTGGGCTCCCGCTTCAGCCGCGATGACTGACGGGAGGGGCCCGCGCGTCAGCGAGACAGGCAGGGGAGCGGAAGAGGGCGACGGCGCAACTCGCCGCCGGTGGCTCCTCCGGCGAAGGCAACGGTGCCAATAGTTTCGCCTTACCCTAGCAGACCTAGGGGAACCATCTATTGTAGCTAAGGACGCAGCTAGAGGGTGTGGCGATGGCCACGGCGGCGCTCGGTCACGGCACGGCCGGCTCCGGCGAAGCTACGACGTCATGGCCCTAGTGGCACACTCAACGAGCTTCCGTGTCCCACACAGAGGCTAGCGCATGGGAGAGAAGGGGTGATAAGGAGCTCGAGCAGCACGGCCACGTGCGAGCTCGGCCGGCGGCGGTCATGGCGACCCGGTGGAGCCGCGCTCACGGTGAGAGCTACCTGAGGCGAAAATGGAGTGGCGGTGGGGTCGAGGACGTGGAGAGGCTCATGATGGTGCTGTGGTTCAGAGGAATCGGGCAATGGCGCTCGGTTTTGGGTGGAATTGGCTTGGCGGTGTCACGGTGTCCCGGTCGCCGTGCGCGCGGAGGAAGGAGAGGGAATGCAAAAATGGAACGGACGACTCGGCGGGCAGGCGCTGGGGCTTCAAGACGCGGCTGTCCGCGCCAGGGCGTCCACGGCACGTGGCCTGTGCGCTCAGGCGAGCGGCGACGGGTGGCGCCACGCAGCGTCATTTTTCTGAATCGGTCGGCCACGTTCACTGAACGTTTTCTGAAAACGCGATTCAGTGTTTGATGACCATGACTGACAGCACGTATTCGACGATCATTAACTCCTAATCCGTGGCGAGCTAGACTATGCCATAGTTAACAAAGTAGCTCATCTATACGTGAACTACAACTCTTTCCACTGGAGCTCAAGCTGGTTTGGCTTGGTTAGGGAGATACAAGGTGACAAAGTTGGGTACATGAAACTGCAACACAGTTAAGGACTTAGAAAAAATCCTAAGTCTGAAATCAGCATGCACTTCTGACTTGTGGGCCATGTTTGAGCATGTTCTAGCCATTTTCATGAGTTGGTCATAAAACAACTTTTGTTCCTTGATAAATTAGCTACAACTTTGGTAAAGAGTGCACAGCCATGCAAAGTCTCTAAGTTGGTCTTTTGAATCAGTCAAACAATGACACTTCAAGTGTCAATTCAAGTCAAACTTGCACTTGAGGGCATTTTGGTCATTTTGATCTACATGAACAATGTCCCAACAAGTAACCTAAGTATAGTTAAGGTGTAATAGACCATGATCAACCACTTTACAAAATTGTTATACCACTTCTAATGATCACATGTGATAAAGAAAGTAAAACAAGCAATTCATTCATATGTTGCAATGCAATGTTTCACATGTTTCAAGACCTTGTTGTCATTTTATAATTGCCCCATTACTACCATATTGCCATGTTTCCAAGTATGAGAGTTTCATGTTACATTCACATGTTGCACTACTACCACTCTAAGCAATCAAGCATGAAACACATACAATTTAAAATGTTGCATATGTATGTTTCAATGATAATGACATGA